CTACTGGTGTACAGGAAGTGTGGCTCACGAGCAGTGCATTAGGTACCTCGTGCCCTGCAAGTGCAGGCAGCCACGTGAAGACCGGGCAGCACTGCAGGCGGGTGACCGGACCCCTAGACATGGGTGTGGGGAGAAAGTCAAGGGAAAGGGAGAACTCGATATTACCTTTACGTTTATCAGGAAAAAGAATATTTCAAGTTTGTATTTATTCAAGCTTTGTTTATTTACTCTTAATGTCAGTTCAACTTGGTTACTAACCTTCTGAGGTATTTAACACATTATCTTACAATTTAAAATAAGAAATTTTATGCTTTTATGCTTTTTTTCCCAGTGTCTTCCCGCACCCCTATTTTCTCTTTTTTGTCTTCTATTTGTACTTGTTTTGCACTTGAGCAGAAAGTACACAGAGCTCCTGCAGAGAGACCTCTGTCTTCCCCACCCTAGTGTATTTCCACATTTTCCACTAGTGTGCTGCGTTTGTTATAACCGATATGCCAACAGCAACAAGTTTTCAGGGCCGGGGAGACAGCTCAGTAGAACAAGTGCTTGCTGTACAGCTGGGGTGTGTGATCCTGGGCAGCACAAGCAGAGCAGCATCGCCGCCCCGACACCTCGCTGGCTGCTGCCCCCAGCTCCTGTTTCCCAAGCCCTGAGGACCACAGTTTTGCCTTTTCCAGAGCCAGCCTGTTGGAGTCCTGTGTCTGTAGGCTTTGCAGTTGGCTTCTTTTGCGATTAAGGTTCTTTAATGTCTTTCATGACTTGACAGCTCCTTGTCTTTTTAATTAGCACGTATGATCCAGAATAATTGATACACGTGGGCTCATCCGCCCCTGTGCGTAACACGCTTTGATCGTTGCTGCCCCCCACTTCCTCCCCTCCCCATCTCTGCATTGCATGGTGTGGATGGCCCCGCGCACGACTCCACCCCCTTTGGGAGAGCATTTTGATTGCTCCCGAGTCTTAGCAGTTTAACAGTAAAGCTATGATCGACATTTGCGTGTCAGTTTCTGGGCAGACATAAGGTTTCAGCTCGCTTACATAAACACTGCAGAGCATGATTGCTGCATCTTGGGTTTAGCTTTATTAAAAAAAAAAAAAACCACCCAGCTGGCTTCCAAGGTGGTGGTGGCATCTTGGATGCCCCCAGCAGTGGGTGAGGTCCCAGTGCCCCTGACCTTGCTGGCATCTGACTGTCAGCGCCTGAGATTTTCCCCATCGTAATCAACTGCGCGTGATTGTTGCAGTTGGCACTTCCCTAATGACACACAATGTTGAGCAGCTTTTCATCTATTTGCCATTTATGTATCTTGTTTGATAAGCCATCAGTTCTGCTACTCTGCTTTTTTAAATGGTTGTTTTCTTATTGTTGAATTTTAAGTTTTTGGATATTCATCCACGGTCATAATGTGTTTTGGAAACACTATCTCTCAGTGTGGTTTTCTTTCTGTTCCCATTATTCATTCTTTCTCCTAACACCCAATTTTATTGTCAGTTTGGAAATATTTTTTAATCAAAGAAAAAGTTCCAGCAGTTGAGAGTGAAGCTTGCTTATCTTGCGTGGGGATACGCCATTGCTAGGACCAAAGCTTTGAGGTCTCTGGCCACAGTGTCCCCCATTCACTCGATTAGAAACCAATGTAAATGGCAAGAGGGAGATTCGAGGAACAGGGAAGCGTCCACTGGTGAGTCACTCTAGGAAATTCAGGTCTGCTTTCGTGCCGTGGTCCTGGCAAGCGGTGTACGTGACCTGGAATGACCAATGAACAGGATGCAGGAATGCAGGAGACTGGAAACTCTTGCCCCGTGTGGTTAGGTGAATTTCTCCAATTGTTTTTGTTTTGTCTTTTTGAAACAGGATGCCACTGTGCATTTCAAGTTGGCCTTGAGCTCACTTCATAGAGCAGGCAGGTCTTGAACTCACAGCTATTCTCCTGCCTCAGCCTGCCGAGTGCTGGGATTACAGGTGTACACTACCATGCCCAACTCTCCAGTTGTTTAGAATTCCCTTGTGAATGTTTTAAAAAGCTTCTCAAGTTTTGACTCCCAGTGGCGTATGTCCCCATATCCAGCGACTGTGCAGTTTGATCACATAATGGGCAGCTTGCCTTTGAGAACCCTATATTTAATAACTTTATGCAAAATTTCCAGTCTGACTGTTGAACTTTGGTCATGTGTTAAAGATTATTATCTACAGGTGCATGTCAATGTCCACGAGTAGGAATAGCTGGCTTGAAACACTGAGTATTGTGCTAGGAAAAAAAAAATCACCTGCATTAGAAGAATGGACAGTTATTAAAGTCAGGAAGAGATTTAGGGAGGGGATTTGGTCTGAGGCTAAAACAGTAAGTTACCCCAGTGCCATCCACTGGGAACACCCATGCACCTGTGCCATCCAGGGGTGCTGAAGGGGGTGCAGAGCCCCGACTGGGCCAGAAGAGAGAGCACTAAGACCCCTTTGCAGTTTGTTCGCTACCGAGGGAGAAGTGTAGTTAGAGCCTCAGCACAGCCTTGCTCCATAGCCTCACGGCCTTCTTCAAAGATGAGAAAATGGAAACCAAAATGACCTCCTGGCCTTTGCTGAAGTCACCATGCTGGCTGTGCTGATGTAGACAGCTGGCCCCTGCCCGTGAGCGCAGGAGACATGTCTCCAGTGCGAGGAATTAAGTGACAATCTTAACAAACTGCTGTTCACGATGTGCTAAGATGTGCACGAAGGATACAGTCTATTCTAGAGAGAGACAAGAGTCAGCAACAGAACTCCCACATGAGAAGCGGGGAAGTGAGTGTCGCCGGCCCGTGGCCCTGCTGCAGCTCCTCCCTGCCGCTCTCCAGGCCAATGGACGTGCAGGCCCCAGGAAGCACGGCAGAGGGGGTCCTCGGACGGAGGTCGGCCCTAGCTTGCCTCTGTCTGTGTGCGTGTGCATGTGCGTGTGCGTGTGTGTGTGTGTGTGTGTGTAGTATTGTCTAGCTAAAGCAGTTAGATAGTAAAGGTCACTGGCGTAGAGAAAGGCAGGGCTAACACTGACCCTGATCCGGGTGCCAGCAGGGGGTGCATGCATGCCGCATACGCTCATGCTCCGGCTTAGTTGTTTTCCATTTTCCACCTGCTGGGCTCCAACAATGGCTGGCGTCCACGGCCTGTGCGGTGGGCACCACCAGAGTGCCAGGGTTGAATGTCTTACTTTAGTGCCAGCCTTTCCATGGAGGTAGGTAACATCATGCCCATCACAGAGAGAGAACAGAGCTCCTCCAAGCTCCCCAGGCACACTGAAGACCAAGCCCAGCCTTCCTCTGATGGTGAGGCTGCTGAGGACCGCCGCCCCCTCGACCTTCTCTGCACCTTTGCTGTTAAACAGAAACTAGAAGCTAGAAATGACACCCACAGAAGCATCGGCAGGGCTGGTAGCCTGGGAAGACTTTATGACTTGTCAGCCCTGATGCAGAAACAATACGCTGTTGTTTAGAAATGCTTAAGCCAGCGAGCGGCACTGCAACCATTTATTCATACGCAGTGGGCAGTGTGCTGCGGATTTGCTGAGAAGTCATTTATTTTCATACTTTCTGGAAGTAATTCTTGGCAAGTGTGTCATTGTTTAGCTAGCTATAACTTCAATTTGCTATCGTAAATTTACCTTTTCCCCTAAACAGTTGTGCCTGAGAAGGCTGAGTTATGAACTCTCTGCCTCACCCCACTAGCACAGCAGCGCCCACCTCCCGAGGCCCTTTTGGGTGCTTATTTTGACCTGGGCACAGTTTGTCCTTTTTCATGTCTCCTTGTTGATGCATTAAATCTTCAAGACAAATATGCTCAATGTATTGGACAGAAAATATTAGTACCACCCAAACAGGAAAGTAATTTAGCTTAATCCTTGCCAGTTAACCTGAGTCATGTGTAAAGAACTTTGCCACATTGCTTGAAACTGTGGCAACTTGTGTGGGAATAATTTAAGCATCTGATGGGCTTTGTTCCCCGGATGAGGACCTTTTCACCTTTGCCCAGGTGACTGCTTGATGATTCCCAATATAATGGATTTTATGTCTATAGTGTAATTACAGGCATTAAATTTAATATTTGTTATGCTTAATAGGAAGTATTTGTTTTGGTACATTCTGGGAGGCTGAGGCATTGCAAGTTCCAACCCATTGTGGGCAACTTAGTGACTCAGCAAGACCTTGTTTATGGGACTTGCCAGTTAGCTCAGTTGTTTAGGCGCCTGCTTATTCAAATGCAGTCAGGCACAGGATACTGTGGTTTGACCCCCAGCTCCTCATGCCTTAGCAGACCACCCTTAAGGCAGCCTGAGCCAGCCAAAAACAAAAGAGAAAAAGACCTTGTCTAAAAACTAAACGAAAAAGGAGTGGAGGTAGAGTATGAAGACTGTTGGGGAAAAATTAGTTGTTTTCAAAGAAATTAAAAGAAACTTGGAAACCACAGTACAGGATGGAAATCATCACAAAGTCAACAGTGACCAGATGCAGCTAGTTTAATGTGTCATGGAGAAGGACCCTTGGCATTTCTGGGCAGGGCCTGGCACAGAGAGGGGCAAGTGAGGGTCTGCCTGGGACCAGGCCAGGGTGTCCTTTTCCTGGGCTCAGGGAGCTGACTTCGGGTATCCTGTAAGGTTTGGGCTGCAGGGACCCTTCAGGATTCCTTTCGAAGGGTCCCTTTCTTGTGTTGGGAGTTTCCTGTTTCACAAAGGAGTTGAGGCTGCTGAGCGTCGCATTGTTTCCCTGCTCACTTGTGTTCAGGAGTCACCCCCTGTGCTCAACCCAGGGCACTGTGGACCCCTGGTGTCACTTGTGGCTGCCAGAGCTGGGTTCCTGCAGCCCAGGGACCATGTGTCCCAGCCTTGGTGCTGACTGGGACAGCAAGAAGTGACGGGCACTTGTCTCCTCGGAGCAACTGCAGCTCACGCTGTATGAGTTTCTCCCCGCAGGTCCCAATGATGGGGAGACCTCTTTGCCTGGGTGACCCTGTGTTCTCCGTTCTGCTTCCTTAGAAACGCTCCAGAGGGCAAGTGCTGTTTGACAAAGTGTGCGAACACCTGAACCTGCTGGAAAAGGACTACTTCGGCCTCACGTATCGCGACGCTGAGAACCAGAAGGTGAGAGTGCGAGGCTGGGGCAGGGGCGCCACTGTGGGATGCAGGCCTTCCCAGAAGCGCGCTCTCAACAGCGTCCTCAAGGCCTGCATGCTTTGAAAACAGCAAGTCAGCTCTTGTGCTTTTTAACCCTTAAGCTGCTTATGCTTCCAGAAAAGCCTGTGTGTGTGTGTGTGTGTGTGTGTGTGTGTGTGTCCGTGGATCATAGATTCAGTGGCTTATATGAAAATCAAATACTTGGGTGCTTATGCAGAAAACATGCTCAGGTCCCAAAACTCCATGAAGACGCTGTAGCTGTGACATAGCCATCGGGGCTGCTTGCTAAGGCGCCCGCGTCCTGCTCCTGATTCATCTTACTCTTCCACTTTCTCGCCAGTCTGGAGGGTGTGTTCCAGCCTCATGTCTGTCCAGAGCCTCTTGTGGGTGTTCAGCATGTAAGGCAGCCCCTGTAGACCCTTGCACGCGAGCCATGAGTTCTAGTCCGAGCTCACCCTGCTGCTGTAAACCGGAGGCAAAAAGAAGAGGAGCTGTGTCGCCTCTGTTGATGCAGAACATTGAAATGCTCTGTTTGTAGATGTTCCTCACTTTGGTGTTGTTCCCGAGCGCAGCTAGTGAAGTCACTGGGCCGTGTCTGATGTCGTCACTGCACATCTGATTTTTCCAATTAGGAAAATATAAAAGCTCAAGCAAGTGCTCCATTCACTGGGAAATTCTCAGGCAGAGCCCGTCACCCTGTGATCACAGGTGTCAGTGCCGTCTGAAGGAAGCGCTGAAGCCAGGTGTGCAGCTGTGTGCATCTCTCTCCTGGTCATTTATTTACCTATAGAGGCTTCTGGCATTCCCCTCTACTTCCACAGTAGCTCAAATCCCTGGGGCAGTCAAAGAAGGAAAACGAAAAGGAAGGAAAAGGAGGAAGGAAGGAAGGAAGGAAGGAAGGAAGGAAGGAAGGAAGGAAGGAAGGACAGAAGGACCCCTGGGAGGCGGGAATGGTCTGTGGGTGCCCCTTCTCCATGGGGATCCTGGCAGGGCCTGGCTATGAATCCCTGGCACGGCAAGGACCGGGCGGGGAATCTTCCAGTGATCGTGCCTTTAGAGCCTGTTGGATCCTCATCATTAAGCCATGTTTATTCTCTGATTTTACTTCAAAATGTCATTTCCTTTTCAGAATTGGCTGGACCCTGCTAAGGAAATTAAAAAGCAGATTCGAAGTAAGTTCCTTGGGATTATTTCATGACGGCATATGGGGAAGGTTTGCAGAGCGCAGGGCCGTAACCATGTCCGAGTGTCCCTGTGAACCGTGCTGTGAAGGACAGATTCCATGTTCAGGTTTGATCAGGGTGCCTTGGTGCAGCTCTGGCAGTAAGGACTTTCCGTCGTCACAGTTGAGAAATTAAAATGACTTTGACCCCTGCCCCCCCCCCCGCCTTGAGATGGGTGTGAAGTCTGTCTTAAGTATGTGCCAGGTGTTAATTATTAAAATTTCCAACTTAATATCATGTTAAACCTAAATGTCACAAACATGAAAACGAACGTAAAAGTAGTAGCCAAATGATGGCTTAAAAAAAAAAATGGCATTGGTTGGAGACAGCCCCTTTTCTTGGTCCCTGACATTAATGTGTGTTAAGGTATTTTTTAATGGACAAAGAAAAATTCCATGAGCTTCTCAAAAATTGAAATACAGATAGTAAAGAAGTGTTAAGGGCCGGCCAGATAGCTCAGAGGACAAAAGTGCCTGTTTAGGCAGGTACCGGGACCGGGATTAGATCCCTGGCCTGTTGTGCCCACTCCATTCCCAGGGTATGCTGAGACAGTGATTGAGGTGGAGCGAGGTGGTGCACGCCTATAATCCCAGCACTTGGGAGGCTGAAAACAGGACGATCACTATGCATCTGCTCTGTGTAGTGAGACCCTCTAGACCCTATCCTAAATACATTACAAAAAAAAAAGTGTTGAGCAGGTTAGGACGCTAATGATTAAACTCGAGTTAAAATGAAATGTCATGGGCTGTGGTTATGGGTCAGTTGTAGGACAGCTGCTCTGCTTGCTGGGATCCTGGAGTTTGGTCTCCAGCTCGCAGGGAAAAGAAAGAGAGAAGAAGGAAAACAAGGGTGGAAAAATGAGAAAAGAGAACAAAAGGGAGAAAGAGAGAGAAAGGAATAAACAAACACTCTAGCATCACAAAGAAATAAAAGGGAAAAGAAAGTAAAGAAGGGAAAGAAAGAAGATAGATCATGCTTGACCGATTTGGATTAGCCAATACTTAAAAAATTTGACAAGTTTAGCAAGAAACTTCCCTGGCAAGTAGAAGCCCAGTTGCCAGAAGTACAAATTGTTACAAACTGTGAAGCAGGCAGTTTGTCTTATTTATCTCCTTGTAGGATATATTTGCTGTTTGACCTTTAGTTTTACTTGAAGAAGTTTACTGTGCATATGTATTAGAGGAAAAGGTACGCACATGTGTGTGCGCACTGGATACTCACTCATGACACTGTTTGTGGGCGCAGAAAACCAGGAGGGACCTAAACCTCCGTTTGTGAGGGGAATCCGCCATTGACGAGCCATAGAAATAGCACTTAGCACTGTGAACGTTGGGTTGCAAAATAGTGTCAGTCACATATGGTTTTTGAACATTGTGCATGTGTAGCTGCCTGGAAAGCTTGTGGGGAGCGGGAAGGGCACCAGCAGGGATCACCCCCGGAGGGGCCTGCAGTCGGGGTGCGGAGCAGGAGCATTTTCTTTTTATTTTTTATACTTTTAACTCTTCACACATGTATATAATCTTGAACAGCTGAGTAGCTTTTTTAATTTGTATATTTCTCAATAAAATCTAGATTAATTCTCCTGTACACCTGACACATTTTGCAGGATAAATTTAAGACTGGTGTATTAATGACAGTATCATTCTCATTCAAGTTTTCAAATCATTTATTTTTAAGAAAGAGCAGCTACATTTTATTAACTGTATAAGTTCTGAGATATTAGAATATCCTAATAATTAGTAAATTGTAACTGCCAATAAGCAGTTTGAAATGGTTTAATATGAGATAACATCTTCTTAATCACTGTATTTCTAGATATTGAGACTTTGCTGATTATTTATACAAATAATAACACCATGCATAATACATTGTTAGAGAAATTTGAGGCGTCTACTAACTAGAAAGATGATAATGAATTAGTTTGTAATTGAGACTGAAAGCAGGAGTGGCCACAGTTACGATGTGTGAATGAAAACACTTTTTCTACATCCAAGAAATCTTAATTTTTAAAAAATGAAAGTGCTGAATATGCCCTGCAGATCTCCTCAAGAACCACTAATCGCAGACATGCTAACCATGCGGCGTAGCATTTTGTGTGCATGACGTACTCTTTGTTCATCTCATGGAATGCTGACCTGGTTAGTGGCGTAAGGTATCCCAGGGTGGTTTCAGTGCGGGTGCAGGCGAGGCTATCGACAGCGCCCATCTCCTTCAGTGTTGCTAAGGGGGTCCGCGTAGCCCACCTCAGCCTCTTGCTTTGTGCTCCTTCTGTCCTTAAGATCAAAGTGGAGAGCCAGAAGGTGTGAGGCCTCCTAGAGTGTGTCCGCCCCGCCAATTCAATTCGCCAGTCTGTAGGACTGTCACAGAAGGAGACCTGAAGTGTTGCAGGGGAAGCAACGACGTGGGAAGTTGGAATTGTTGCAGAAGTATATTGTTTCTATCAATATTCCTTGCTTGCTCTCCACTAAAGTGCCTCTGTACGCAGAATTGAATCCTACCAAGGCAGAAGCGTAGTATCAGACCTCATGGACTTGTTTTCCATGGCTGCCTCTCCCCACTTCTTTTTGCTGGAGTCCACAGCTCGCCTGGAAGATGAATGTGATCTGCAATTTAGACCACAGATGTGTGGCACCTTAAGTCACAAACTTATAATGCATGGTAGATTTTGAAACTAAGGAATTTGTTCTTAGAAACCAGCTGTAGGCCTGCATGGCCTGAACCGCATCTAAAGCAAAACTCCTAAATACACTGTGTTTTCCAGTTCTGAGTACAGCATATTTAGGATGTAAAACATGATTTATAGTGTATTACGTTAGCAGTGAGGTCTGCTGGGAAATCTTAAGATTTGGCATTAGGGGCCACAGCAAGATAGCTCAGTAGACCAAGCACCTGCTTAGGCAAGCACAGGGTACCCCAACCCACACCAGCCCCGCCCCAGGGCACGCTGAGCCAGCAACCAAGTCCAAGCATGGTGGCTCACACCTGTATCCCAGCACTGAGGAGGCCGAAAACAGAAGGCTCACTATGAGTCCAGGCTGTATAGTGAGACCCTGTACCAAATACACACACACACACACACACACACACACACACACACACACAGATTTGACATTAGAAAGTTTGCACAAAGCACAAGGATCCAGGTTCAATCCCTGGTACTGCATGCTATGCCAGCCCCTTTCCAAGCCAGCCACCGGGTCCAGGTGTGGTGGCACATGCCTATAATCCCAATGCTGCAGAGGCTGAGACAGGAGGATCACAACAAGTCTGAGCTGTATAGCGAGACCCTGTACCAAATAAATAAATTAAAATACTTTTAAAAATATTTTTAAAAGTTTATACAAGAATAAACCGCATTAAGTGCTACAATCTTGTGTTTCTATAAATTTTAACTTAAACCCCCACATCAGCATTATCACAGGAAGTGTTTTACTGTGTCCAAACTGGCTCATCCGCTGTTCCTGTCAGGGCCACGTCAAGCCTGTGAGCTCGCTCACGCACACGCACGTCCTCCTAGTTGATTTGCTTCTCTTCTCTTCTTGATGGGGAACTGAAGCTTGAAGCAGCCTGTTTATTAATGTTTTGGTTTTATGCCTTGTTTCATTGAGGGTTTCTTCCCAGGGCAGGCAGCCGAACCCAGGGCCTTCACACTGAGCTATTTTTCCCATCCGTTTTTAAAAATTCCTTGTTTTAAGACAAGGTCTCCTTAAGTCACTAAGTGGCCCAGACTGGGCTCACCCTTGCAGTCCTCTTGCCTCCGCCTCCCAGAGTGCTGGGATTACGAGCATAGAGCATGGTGTTCCGCTTCGCCAACATTCCTCCCCCTTGGTTGGGGTGTTGAGTCTGTTGTAGTTTCTGTGACTGTCACCTTATGTCGAAATAATGTCCAGAAAGACCCTGGAGTTAGTGTTCCATTTATAAACCTTAAGAATGTCGGGTTCCCAGTAACAGTGCTTTTCACTGTGGCTCCCACAGCTTCCTGTATTAGAATCTTGAGGGAGCTGATGAAAACCCAGGTCTGCACCACCCTCCAGTCTGAGGAGGAAAAGCCTTGGAGGCTGAGCCTGCAGCTCGTGCACATCTGATTCTCCTTAGGCCCACTGTAGTTCGCACCTTGCTTTCCTACAATGAGGATTTCTGCATTTAATATGTTGCTCATATTTTCATTACTTACTAGTTTCCAACTGAGAATTTTCACCCTGAGTTTATTGTAAGATTGTTTAATTACATTGCCATATGATTCGCCGGAATCAAGGCATACCTTGAAGTGGATGGAAATTACAAAAGAGCAGCAAATCCATTTCCCATAACTAATCCATTGTTTTTCATTCCACTTGGTTGAGGGAGAAGCCAGCCCTTGTCAGCCCTCATTCTGAGCCTCGTTCTTGGCCCACAGGAAAGACTGTGATTCAAAAGAAAGTGAGCAAGAGTCAACAAGGAAAGAAGCGCAAATCAGACCATTGTTAGAGTGGCAAAAAAACTTGTTCAAGACAGTAGCCCAGTCACTAGACGCGTATTTGATGGACAGACATGACTTACCATGCTCCCAGCTCTTGTGTCATGGTCCTTTCGAGTGGTTTAAAAACGTTAAATAGCCAGTGACACGTAGGCCTGTCCAGATCTCTCACAGGGCCACTCCAGGAAGATACGGCATGCAGGGCCTTGAATGGGATGCTGGGATAGCAGTGGAATGAACTGGAAGGAACATGTGATTCAGGCCAGAAATGTAGGGCGCGGATGTGCTGAGGATCGCAGAGACAAAGCAGAGGTGCAGGAGAGGCGCCCGTGCACTGAGTGCTGCAGGGCTCTTGGAAAAAGTGGAAGTCTTTTCATGCGTTGGTGCGCGTGGGGGTTAGGGACCATTGGAGGTGCACAGGTGTCGTGTCACATCAAAGGCCTGACAGCAAGCCCATGGCACAATCAAGCAGTATCTAGGAGAGAAGCTGGGAGGACTGGGGTGAGTTTTCCGTGACATCATTCAGAACACAATCATGCCCGAAGCAGAGGCGCTTCCAGGGTGCACGGAGTAGAGTCAACCCCAAGAGTGCGGCAGAGAAGGGACACCCAGATCTTAACAAACAACTGCATTTAAAAGGAAAGAAGATGAATAAATTAAAAGAGGGATCACAGAGGTGCAGCGTGCAAAATGCTGTGCGGTGCATGTGTGTGTTGGCAAATCATCCACAAGCAGAGGTAGCGGTCATGACAGCGCAATGGGAAGGCTTTGTCACCGGCAGTGTGTCTTGAACGCGCTTCTGGCTGACTTTTTTGCTGTGGCAGCAGCATTAAGGAGCTGTGAGTCCATCCTCCTGGGCTCCCAGAATTGGGGAACGCACAGGAAATAGGTCCGGGCTCCTCGCGTCGGAAAGTTCCCTGCGTGAACAAAGACTTCCGCAGCCAGCACGCGGCCTGGTTATGAAAGCGTTATTCACTACCACAAACCTTTCCCACAAAATAAAACTGTGTTGGCTAGTCCCTTGACATTTATTATAATGGAACTTGACCTGTAATAACAAAGCAGAGGGGACAAAGAAAATGGAAACTATATCTGCACTGTGGTTATGTGAGCTGCCCAGAAATCCGTAGCAATAAATCCAGGCAATTCCAGACCTATCTGATGGAGGATTATCCATATCGTTTACCTTTTTTCCTCCTTCTAAAGCCTTATCTTTGATCCTGAGAATGGGAGGAAGTTTGGTTAATTGCTTTGCTAGGTACAAGTGCCAGTAAAGGATCGGATTGAGGACAAGATCGGAAATTAGACGAGGGTTCGGGCTGATCTGGGGACCTCCTTTAACAGAGACTCCCTTGTTAGCCATGAGTGACCAGAGTCACTTGGGTGTTAGTGCTTGGAGCTGGGGTCCGTCCAGCGTCAGCGAAAATCTGGAGTGAGTTTTCTAAGACTTAACTCTATTTTTTTGCCTATCCCTACAGGCGGTGCTTGGCACTTTTCATTTAATGTGAAATTTTACCCACCAGACCCTTCCCAGCTATCTGAAGATATAACCAGGTACGTACTCACTGGCCACGGTCAAGGCAGCCACCCTGGGAAAGCCGTGAGTCCCTTAGTGGTGCAGAGCAGAGAGGCTGACGTGTGGCCTCAGAGTCACCCGCGCTCACGTGGCAAGGAAAAGACAACCGAGTGAGCACTACCGTCCCTGAGAAGTTTTGCCAAATGCCATCTGGTAACAGTTGGATCTTTGCTGCTAGCCTGATAGTCCCGTTTACCTGACCCTGGTGGGAGGACATGAAGAAATAAGATGCTGTCATTCGCCCCCGGAGCAAAATTGGATGAGATTCAACCTTAGTGCTGTTGCCATTCTTAGTGCTTCTGCTTTCCAGTTTAAAAAAAAAAATCGTTACATTCCTGCACTTAGCATGCGACCCACCTGATACTTCATGGCTGTTTAAACACACACAGAGAAGGAGATGCAGAGAAATGTGTATAAAGCCAAGAGTTTGCTTTCTGTGCCCTATAGGTGCAAGGAAAGTGGTTTATTTGTTTACTGGAAAGATATCAAGAAAAGAATCTCACATAAAAGTACTCCAGCTTGGCCAGGCGTGGTAGGACACGCCTGTATTGCAGTGCTCAGAGGTGGAGGGAGCAGGATTGCAGCGAGTTTGAAGCCAACCCAGGCCAACCTGGTATACATAGCGAGCTAAAGGCCAGGCTGAGCTGCATAGCCAGACCCTGTCTCAAGAACCATAAATTAAAATTTAAAAAATACCCCGGCCTGGTGGCTGAGAGTGAAAAGGACTCCTCTTAGAAGCAGTGTTGCGTGGCTTGCTCTTTTCGGGTTACTATCACAAAATAGTGTGGCCTGGCTGGGTTTTCAGCAATCTGCTCACAGTTTTCAAGGCTGGAAGATCAGGGTCAAGGATGTATTCTTGTGAGGCTCTGCAGCTGGGCGCAGGCTCCTGACTTCCTGCTTTCTGTATCCTCCAGTGATAGAAGGAGGAAGGGGTCTGTCTGTGGCCTCCTGAATGGGTGCTAACTGCACTTGTGACGGGGTGACCCTCTTGACCTGGTCGTCTCCTAATCCAGCACCTTGGAGAGAGAAAGGCAGCGTGTACACTAGCAGCACAGGGCAGGGCAGCATTTAGCCTGCCCTTCCTGGCTCCTCACGCGTCCTCCTAGACCTCCCTGCATTCCGTTTGGAACCTCTGGCTCCTAACCCTGTTTGGTAGTAAGTTTATGAGCAGACAAATGACTTTGTTCTCATGCGTAGAGTTTTCCTGTAAGCCTTATGCCCTCCAGAGAGAGGCGGTGGTCATCAAAGGGAAACCTTTGAAGCAGATTCAGTCAGTTGTTAGGGTTAAAACTATGTCACCAGACATATTAGGAGTAGAGTAACAGCTTTTTCTCTATCTTAGATTTCTTTTATGCTTGCAGAAATCAGAGGGAATTATAAATTATCTGTAAAGATACTTTTTAGTCAATATGGAAGAACTATTTCACAATGGCTGATTTCTGGGTGGGGAGCCTAGATATACCTAGATTTGAATTTTATGCCTGGTTTCTTTCTATCTATGTGTGTAGTGTTTGGAGAGCCTGCTAAGTGTTTAAGAATTCTGTCTGGGTTACATGGATTTTAATTATGCTAAGAGAGACTTTATAAATGTACCATAGTCATCCCGTTCAACAGAGTAATAGTTCCTTACATACATGAAAGGTAGGCAGTAGGTATTATTAAAACTTCAACCGTGTTAACCCTCAACTGTGGAGACTTTCGCAGCTCATTCAATTGCATCTATAAATCTTGAGACAAAACCACACAGAGTACAAATCAGCTGTTAATGATGGCAACATTACATGGGTCATGTCTTATATTTTTTCTTTTACAGTGACAAGGTTCTCAGATTTTAAGGTCATAGGGCTTTAAAGTTAGTATTCAGCAAGGTGCTGGAAAGCACAGCTGGTGTTACCTGGAGTCTGGCTTGGTTGTCCAGGAAGACCTGTCACTTAGATTTGAAACAAGACCTCATGAAGGCTAATTGGGACCTAAGAATTATATTTAAGAGCATCATTATGATATCAAAAAAGTATTTATGGAGAGTATGCTGGGACCTCCTCATTTGATTTGAAAAGTTAAAAGATGTTAGGCAAACATACCTGTAGAGTAGCAAAATCCTGTTTTATGAGGAACACGGCCTTGTCCAGGTGTCCTGAAACTTCTTTTGTAGCGTGGCATCTTCCCCTTGTGTCTAGATCAGTCGTAGATGACGTGAATGTCAGCCTGCGAGGATGTTAGAGAATGGGTCACAGGGAAGTCACTGGACAGGCATCATCACCCACAGTGGCACCGAGCCGTGTGTCTCACACTGGGCTCTGTCTCGAAGGTACTACCTCTGCCTACAACTGCGTGATGACATCGTGTCGGGGCGGCTGCCTTGCTCCTTCGTGACCCTGGCCCTGCTGGGCTCCTACACAGTCCAGTCAGAGCTTGGAGACTATGACCCCGACGAGTGTGGGAGTGATTATATCAGCGAGTTCCGCTTTGCCCCGAACCACACAAAGGAGCTGGAAGACAAGGTGATTGAGCTGCACAAGAGCCACAGGTCAGTGGGCGACACGGGGTGCAAGACTTTCTCTGGCACGTCATCGAGTAGGCGAGGGCGCTGCTGCTGCAGCCGCTTGGGCGTGCTCTCCACGCGTTAAAGGCGGGAAGCTAGAGCAGGGCGGTCATTATCTAGGTAAGCTGTGAGGGGTGGAACTTCCCCCTTGAAGCAACCACGTGTCCACCTACTATGTACCATTTTGAAGGTGTTTTCCTTCAAAATCATTTGTCTGGTTATGCTTTTCTTACCTGCTGGCTGAGCATCCCTTATCCCAAAATGCCCAGGACCACAATTATTTCATTATTTGGAATTTTTCAGGCTTTGGAATATTTGCATGTAAACCATGAAATGTTTCAAGGAGGGGACCCCAAATCTAACTACAAATTTCAAATGCTTTTTATACACACGGCCTGATAGTGATTTTGCACAGTATTCCTAGAGGTGCTGTGCTCAGCTGTGGAATTTCCCCTTTCTGGTGCTGTGCGGTGTGTTAGCAGCTCAGGTTGTGGTGCACATCAGGTTTTTGGTGTTTGATTAGCAGTGGTCATCCTGCATCTGCCCACGTATCCCTGGGGGTTTCTTATATATAAGATAGCAAAGAACTAAGCAGCCTACCAGATAAAGGAAACACAGCTAATTGTGTTTTATTTCTAATTCTGAACAATGAGCAGGGAGGGCAACCTTGTAACACACTGTTTCTTCCAATCAGAGGAATGACGCCAGCAGAAGCAGAAATGCATTTCTTGGAAAACGCCAAAAAGCTCTCCATGTATGGGGTGGATTTGCACCATGCCAAGGTATGTCTTTCTAAATCCCGGGTTCTTTTATTTAGTGCAGTATTGCTATTTCTGTAAGCTGGCAATTTCTACATCCATTGATGGAAATAGAATCTTTTGAGGATTCAGTCTGTGTTTGCCGTTTAAACCTCATTCTGTGGTAAAACACCTTCAGCTCTGATATTCACCAAAGGTGATCTTGGTGGCTGAGACTATCTCAGGTACTTTCTCCTACTGAAACATAATACTGGATACCCACATGTTAAAAAAGGGTCTATTTTTAGCTCACAGTTTGTAGAGGGCTCAGTCCCAGGTTGGCTGGCTCTAAGGCAGGGTGGCGTGGCAGAGGGCCTCACAGGGGAGAAACAGCCCATGGCAGGGCAGGCAGGAAGCAGAGGGAGACTAAGGGAGGAGGCCAGGAGACCCTGCAGGACACGCCCCAGTGACTCAGCTGCTCCAAGCATCTCATTAGCTCTATCCATGATGACTGTCACATACCTGTAATCCAGTCACCTCCCCACAGCCCCATGGATGAGTGCATGAGATTTTGGGGGGCATCCAGATATAAACCACTACATTATTCCTGACTTAGGTCCCCAAGTGCCCTTTGTGTCCCCCAATCACTGTCTGACCTTTTGCCCAAAATATGTTTGTTAGGATTCTAGAGTTGGATTCTGGTACTTCATCGGTGATCCAGGGTCACTCTCCAGAGTTCAGGG